TGGTGGGGGGGGGGGGGGGGGGGGGGGGAGTCCCTTGCCACCAGCCCCATAGCCCAAAATTTCTTCATGAAAGAAAAGCAAATCATGCGATCACTAATGTGTTTTGTAAAAGTATAACTTACTAATTTTGAAAATGAACTAATTTTTATCACTCTACCAGAAGGGAGACATAACTTTTAATAAATAACTTCTTTAGACATTAGCATGAAAAAATGGCAAGTAACATAATAAGCACATTATTCCATGGAGATTTTTAGAATCCAATCGCCAGAAATCTAACCATCCTTTCCTACAGTTTGGCTCCCACTTCCTTGTTTTTCCTGATGCAACCCAGTGCCTATAGCAAAGGAGGAAACATATTTCAAGCCTTCTTCAGTCTAACATAACTTTCTTCTCTTTGTAACTTTACCCCTTTGTCCTTTAGGCTTCAAATCCCCAATAATATCCTGGAAATTTCCAAAGACTGGAAGCAGCACACATACACGTAGGGAGGTGGTGCATCATCTTAGGACGCATATCTGTGGCTTTGCCCTAACTACAGTTCTTCTCTGTTTACATATCAGATGCTTTAGGAATTCTCCCATCAAGAATCCCAGCTGATGATACAGGAGACAGAGCTAGTGGCACAGTGTTAGGGTCCAGTCAGAGCCACATTCTATGACTGAGTTTTTATGGACTGATTTAGAGGCATTGGCAGTGTGGTTTGTGATCCCAAGAAAGATAAAGGGAAATGAAGGGTCTAAAAGATTAATTATATTCTTCTCCACAGACCCTCAACCCAAGAACAAAACATGGTCCCTCTTTGATCAATAGTAAAATAGTCCCTAATTGACTATCCTCACCAAGTACACAAGTTATTTTATAAAATACACCTCTTCGAAAATCTCCAGATATGAGCTGAAGGAGTAGAACTGAAGGTTAAAACAAAAATAAAAGGTTAGGAATCTCACTCTATCACCCCTCAGACAGGGCTGACAACCTTTTCAATAAGCTCTACTTACAGTGTAGCACCACGCAATAGGAAACTCTAACCTGCTGGTGTAGTATTTGTAGTAGTACCTTCAGTTGCTGCAGCTCTAACACACACACACCCACTTCCAAAACTGTAGTTTGAATTACCAAGTGTGGCTTTCACAATCCAATGCACATCAGAGTAAATTTCCTTTGTCTGGGACCAGATTTTGCCATCCTCCATTGAGAAGCACCTCACTCCATGAATAGTCCATTGGGTTTGCAAAGGTAGGTACTATTAATGGAACTTCAAGCAAAAACAAACAAAAATCCTCAGGCCAGAGAACAGGTGATTGCTTAATCATGTGTTTGGTTCAAATACCTTTACTTCTGCATTTATTCACCTCTTGCCATCTCCCTACCTATTGTTCAAAAAGTATGGACAGAGATGTGATGCCATTCTTTGTAGTTCATCAGTACTTTGGGGGCAGGAGCACATGGAGTGTGCTAGTCAAACCCATGACAACTAAGGTAATATATATATATATAAATAAAATAACCCTTCTTACCTTTCATCCCAAACTTGGAGTGTTTTCCAAACTTCAGAATAATGAGCATTATCACTAGGCCAGTGCACACTAATGCTGCAATCCCAACCACAACATACACCTAAAAGAGAGAGCAAGAACAGTTGACTCTGTTGCATGATGATGAACCACCTTCAAAATTAATCAGCATTTATTAAAAAATAACCAAACTAAGAAAAGTTTGCTTTAAAAGGAAACAAAGAGCAACACATCTAAAAGCACAGAGGGGGTCATCATGTGGGATCTCTCCCACCCTGCAAAAAACAAAGACTGCCACTTCCACATCCTGCAGAAACCTCTTCATGGGTCTGGGACTGGGAGAGGAGACCAAGTGAGATGTTCAGAGAAGGGGATGAATCAGAGGCCTGTATACCATCTACCCATCCAGTCTTACAGAGTTTTATCAGAAAATATAATACAGTCTGTTGTACCTTTGATACGGTGCACCTTTGGGACACAGCCACTGACAAGGAGCTGCACCAGAGACCACAAAGACCTAAAACACTGTACAGAACAAAGCCTCTTTACAGACAGCCCTAACTTCGCACAGATCCCTCAGGATCCTGCAGATTACAAGATGGTCCCTGCTGTGCACAAATCACACCAGGGTCAGTGTGGGAAGAGGCTCTGTGAGGTAACGCTCCTGAAGATTTGCTGCCCCAAACCCATAACTCTTTGACTACTAGGTTGTTAAATCTGGTGAGCAAGTTTTTCAAATCGCCTTGAATTTCAAGGATGTGCAATCTCTTTGAAAATAGAATTACTGTATTTTAGGTCTTAAGAAAAACAACAACATGGCATTATAGATCATCTCTAAGGACAGGTCTATGCTATGGGGTTAAGTTGACCTAAGTGAAGCAAGTCAAGCTGAATAATGTAGCTGGGTTGACTTATCTCAGTGCCTAAACTGCATCAATGGGAGAAAGTCTCTTGTCAACTTAGCTCAATGCTTCTCGTTCCAGTGGAGAGCGATCTGAGGTTGATTTATTGGGTCTTCAATAGACCCTCTAAATCAAACCACTCAGGAGATCGATCTCCGCAGTGTCCATCTTCTGGTACTGGAGAAAAGCCCAAAGAGTTGATCGGAATAGTGACACAAATTAAGTATCCATTTTATTTGGTATGAATAGTCACTCACTCTTCTCCACCTCGCCTCCCCCCCCCCACAAACCTCCCTTCATTTTTTAAAATGGCATCTTGAACAAATTCTAGTGTTGGCTTTGGTAAACTGTTAGGTTAGTATTTCAGTTCTACAGTCAGAAAGTCTATGTATATACTTACAGTGATGCTATCTTCATTCTCTTTGTTGGAAACATCTGGAGGAGTGATTTGATTACTGTTATTCGTGGTGTCCCCAATATCATTAGGCGTGGTTTCATAATCTTAGGGAGGAGAAAAAATGTTATCATTACTTGCATTACTATAATACTGCAATGTTTGAAACATTTGAGAATCCTGAATTCTTTGTAAAAGATGCATTGTTTCTATTTGGTCAACTAAGAATTCTGTTGGGGATCTACAAAGCCAAAGCTTTATTTGCACCAGACATTTTTAACCAACATGTAACCAGTCAATGTCTTTAAAAATAGCATTTTCCTTTCAAAAGTAATAATTCATTTATTATTATTTTCTGTAAAACTTCAAAGGATGGAGCTACATTGTAACATATACTACCAAGAGACGCTAGATTTCAAGTTAAAGAAGGTTAACCTTCTTATGGTTAACCTGGTTATGGGTGCTTGTGACTAAAAACAAACGACTGTCATCAAAACTGTCATCAAAACTGAACTATTTCAGCCTTATTTTGGCCAAAGAGGAGTTCTTTTAAAAAAAATTAGTTTGGGAGATTTCTAAGGTATAATTATACTGCAGCTGGAATTGAACCTCCTAGACCAGATAAACAGACCTCTGCCAGCTTGGTTCACACTAATACATTCCAAATAGCAGTGTGGATATTCAAATTCCAATGGAGATCAAGATAAGAACCCACGCTCTCATTCAGGTGGGTTTGAGAACCTGAGCTGCTGCCCAGGCAGCAATATCTACCCTACTATTTATAGCACACTAGAGTAAGTCAAGCTAGTGCAAGCCTATCTAGGCTGGGGGAAAAAGCAGGGAAGGGACTCACTCCTAACTACAGGATAAACATACCCTTTGTTTTATTTTTGAGAATTTGACAAAAGCTCATATAGCTAGTGAGTTATCAAAGTGTTGAAGGGACAGATTGTCTCATGTTATGTTCCAACTTGCTAACTTGCCAGAGTTAACCCTGAAAAAGTCTTAGTGCCAGACATTTCTCAAATCAAATTTTGTCAGAAGCAATGGACCATAGTCTTAGTGCAAAGGAAAAATCCAGAATAAATCTCCTGAAAGAAGAGTTTGGCCCAACAAAGTTATAATTATTTGAAAACTTCACACTGGGGTTATCAAATGCAAGATTTTCCACCTTGTTTTCAAGATAAACACAAAAACTAATACAAAGTTGCAGTTACTTCTAGGAATACATACTAAAATGTGTGTGAGAGACAGAAACTCATTCAAATAAATGCAATCAATACAGCTAATGTAATTCAGCCCCAGTGTGATTGTATTTAAATATACATACAATCACATTTTTTCCCTCTTTAACTTTGAAATAAAATCAAGAAGAATTTTTGATGTCAAAATTCTGTAAATGGAATTTGAAAATGGGGGGGGGGGTAGGATCCTTAGTGCTGCTACAGGAGGGAGAGGATTTTGTGGATCAGGCCAACACCCAGTCCGCGTTGTATGACTTCACTGTAGCACCAACACAACAAGACATTGCACTGGAATCGGGGCTTGAGAGACGGTCTGTCAGACCCAGACAACCATCTGTCTGGACTAGAAACTATGTTATATAGTATTTACACTGTTTTCAGTGCAATATTTCTGCCAACAGTATAGTGTCTTATTCCATATTTGTTGCTGTGGTTAGAACAACGATGTTTATTTTATAATTGAGAGATCTTCTTAAGAGAGGAGGGAATGTGGTGTTTTAGATGCTGCTTGTAATTATTAGAATTGGGAGCACTGGCTGTTGGGAGTCTGGAAGCACAGGAAACGGGAAGGAGGAGATGAGCCAGGGCTGATTGAGAGCTACAGAGGGGAGCAGCAGCAGCTTTGTAAAGAGGTTTCTCCTTTGTTAAAAAAAAAGGCCTGTTGAAGTTTGTTAGTACCTTGCTTGCATAATACAACAGATCTGCACTCTAATACTCGTATTTTCACCTGCTGCTCAGTGCCATTCTGAAAAGGCTAGTTGGGAATGCTGGAAATATATTGTCTGGACACATTCAGTTTTCATGCTTGCGCACATACATTTCCTTGCTGCAAAGCATTCTGCATCCCGTATATGACCCTTATTAGGGGGCTGGACTCTTTGGCACTGGTTAAATTTGCTCAGAGCAGCCAGACCAAGTTGACTCTCCTAGGTTTGTACCATAATAGGCCCAAGATCAGGATTTAGACCCGCTCTAATAGATAGCAGCTACACATACGCAGCAGGCATCAAACTGTAGAGTAAGGCAAGGTGACAGCATTCTTCATATTACACATCTATGGAGGCAGTAGGATGGCCAAGAAGTGCTGAGAAGGCTGACAGTTAATGTCACTAGCACTTTTGTCCTGCCATGTCACAAAGGGGTGGAGATGCTTATCCCTAACTCTTCCCAAAGCAGATCACTTGAATTAACTCTACAGTGAAGGCACAGAGGCTACGTCTAGACTGGCCCCTATTCCGAAATAGCCATGCTAATTTCAGACTTTGGAATAGGGAAATCCGCGGGGGATTTAAATAAACATGTCCGCCGCTTTTTTTCCGGCTTGGGGAAAAGCCGGAAAAAAGCGTCTAGACTGGCGCGATCCTCTGGAATAAAGCCCTTTTCCAGAGGATCTCTTATTCCTACCTGAAAGTAGGGCCTGAAAGTAGGAATAAGAGATCCTCCGGAAAAGGGCTTTATTCCGGAGGATCGTGCCAGTCTAGACGCTTTTTTCCGGCTTTTCCCCAAGCCGGAAAAAAAGCGGCGGACATATTTATTTAAATCCCGCAGGGGATATTTAAATCCCCCGCGGATGTCCCTATTCCAAGGTCTGAAATTAGCATGGCTATTTCGGAATAGGGGCCAGTCTAGACGTAGCCAGACTGTGTAACACTTTCCTTTATAAACCCTTTTTGTTAAGTTCTTGTATATTTAAGAATTTGCTTCAGATGAAAATAATTGACATAGAAAACCTTGATATGACACAGTGATTGAGGGAATTGTGATTTTTCCATTCCCTAAATTTGTTGCGCGAAGAAAAGACAAAATATACTTGGGGTCTAGAGAAAGCTACCTACTACAGCCACAAGAAGTGAAGTTGTTGGCAATGTCTTTACTATGGAAACTTTGACCTTATTAGTCTTCTATTCTAGTTCTATTGCAGGGGCACATTCTTGGATCTGTTTTCATAAAACAAGAAATAGGGTAGGACACACATTAATAGATAGCAAGATAGTCCTATTGTGATGATAAAGGTGTAATCACATTTTCAGAGGGACAAACTTTGTTCTTAATTACCTGCAAGTACCAGAGGGTAAAATTTGGCAAGCAATATTTGTCAATAAAGTTTTTCCTCCTATAGATCAGTAGGCCTGCAAAAGTGTATCTTGAGGGACTTAATCCAGTGGAGCCAAAAGCTTCACCAGGTCCCTGGGGAATGAAGGGAACCCCTGATCTGCACCTGCAGAAGGGGTGAGGCCTCTGGTAGAAGGGGTGGGTCTGGGACAAGACAGCCCTTAGCATCACCTAGAAAGCATAGAACCTCCCCCAGGCAGTCCTCAGTGCTACTCAGTGTGCCAGTTGGCGCTCCAGAAGCTATTTAAAGAGCCCGGGGCTCTGGCCCTGCCAGTAGCTCCTGGACCTTTTGTATTGTTGAGGGACAGGGCAATTGCCCCATCAGTAGGCCTGAACTTATCAAAAGCATATATGTTGTTCCAGAACTTATTTTTTAAAAGATGCTGAATACTGTATTACACTACATTGGGCAAGAATTAAATTAGGCCACTTAGGCACATTAGAGATGCATTACCACTTCATGCTGAAGAACAGAGGATCCTTTAATGAGGACCAAATTTTCAAAGCTCTTTGCAGTGGGTGAGCCCTGAAAAACACATGCATAATCACCATCTGGGCAAAACTGCATATTTGCAATGCACCAGTGGGGCAGTTTTGCATTCAAATAGGTTCTTGTGCATACAATTACTGGATTTGTCCATACAAATGTAGCATTGTGACATATATAAGGTGCACAAACATTTGGGGTACATCTACACTGCACGTTTACTTCAAAATAGGCTATTCTGGAATCGTTATTCTGAAATAGCTTATTTTGAAATAGCACATCTACTCTGTAGGGAAGTTTCGAAATTAGTCCAAAGCCGGCTTCCCTAATGCAGAAGTGCTATCTCGATTTAAAGCCCCAGGAGGCACTAGGGAGTAATAAGTTAGAATGGCCCTGGTGAGGGGCTATTTCAAAATAGCAGTGGTGGAGTGTCTACACACACCTTATTTCAAAATAGCTATTTCGGAAGAGTCATTATTCCTCATAGACTGAGGTTTACAGATTTCAGAATAAGCCATCCATTATTTTGAAATTATTTCAAAATAATGGAATGGCTGTGTAGACACTCAAGCTACGTCTAGACTGGCATGATTTTCCGCAAATTCTTTTAACGGAAAAGCTTTTCCATTAAAAGCATTTGCAGAAAAGAGCGTCTAGATAGGCACGGAAAAGCGTCTTTTTGCGGAAAAGCGTTTGTGCCAATCTAGACGCAGTTTTGTGCAAGAAAGCCCCGATTGCCATTTTCGCCATAGGGGCTTTTTTGTGCAAAACAGTTTTTAGCTGTCTATACTGGCCCTCTTGCACAAAAATATTTCCGGAAAAGGGCTTCTGCCCGAACGGGAACGTCAAAGCATTTGCGCAAGAAGCCCTGATTTCAGACAGTAGAACGTCAGTGCTTTTGCGCAAAATCAAGCAGCCAGTGTAGACAGCTGGCAAATTTTTGCGCAAAAGCAATTGCTTTTGTGGAAAAACTTGCCTGTCTAGACGCAGCCCCACATTGTTATTTCAAAAAAAACCACCAGTTATCTCAAATTAACGGTGCAGTGCAGATGCACCCTTACTCTGACTCACCCACTTTATGGCTTGATTCTTCAGTGGCCGGTAACATTTGTGCTCCTTTACCAGCACAAAGTGTCAGCATAAAATGAACACTCTTGTTGCAAACCTAATAAAATCATTGTGTGACTATATGATGGGAAGCAGCATGGCAAGGAGGCATAAATATGTGACCGGGAACCAAAAATGCTGGGTTCACATTTGATTTCCTGATGGGCCTTTGACAAGTCACTTCTGCTCAGCCTCAGTTCTTCCATATATAAAAACAAAGTTAATATTTCTTCCTCATCTGCCTCACAGACATATTGGGAAGATTAATTCTTTAACGAATTAATGTTTGTGCAGTGCTTATTAACACAGTGCTTAACACCTAAAGTGCTGTGTAAATGTAAGCATTACCAGCTAGATATCCTGTATTCCAAGTTCTAATCTACGGATGGTGAGTGTGTGTTCTAAAAACAATTAATGGAAAATTTGAGAACTACCGTATGCAACATGGAGCTAACTCCAGAGGGATGGATCAAATCCTACCTCAAAGGGCTCTCTCCACATAAAAGCCTCAGCCTCACCCACCAAGTCTACTCAAGCATGGCCCAGCTCAGACACTAACACAAGTCTTTGGGAAGAGTAGCATAAATGTCCCTCTTCACCACACCTTTTTAGCCCTTCACCTGACAAGCCTACGCAATGCCATCTTGCTTATCACCTGCCCAAATCCACAGTCTGACTACTAGAAAGAGAGCTTGGAAGACCTATCACAAATCTTTGAAGCACACTAGGGTGTGAGGAAACACTCTTGATTTTTTTTTAAATTGAAAATTCATCCATTCCATTCCATCTTCTGGTTGGCCTGTCTGACCAATGTTATTTCAGTAGGGGAAAAGGTATCCCTTCTACACTCTGCTCAACTATCCTTATTATTAGCTTTCAAATTTACATTTAGAGATCTGGACTTTAATACCATCCCCACATGGTGGTCTCTTCTCTCCTATCACATATCCAAGCATCAGTATATACTCACTCCTGAAGAAGCACCTAATCCTGTGAGCCACTGAATACTCCCATCACCCACTGAAGTTAACAGGAATAGACAGCACTTGGAAATTTACAGAAGATGTTTAGCACATGCCAGGAGCAAGCTCTCAGAATCTGACCTTTTGTCCAAACTTTTTCCTTTCCCTGTTACTGTGACCCAAGAACCTCTTGGTGCTAACTGGAAAGGGGCAGAGAGAGGATGACAGAGTAACCAGAAACCCCTGAGTCTGGTACTTACATTTTATTAGAGAGGGTCATGTAAGGTTTCTAATTTTTTAAAAACCTGTCTGGTCATTTTCATAATTGTGTAAGGTATGTACTGACACTACATAAAGATTTATGAGCATAATTTTCAGTATATGTATCTAAGGTATACAATCAGCAAAAGTGAAAACAAATTGCCAGACAAGAGATGTTTATCCAGCTATCTATTTGTATGTAAACCAGGTATCCCTTAAATACTAATGAAGAGCTGACAGACTTCAGAAAGAAACTAACAAGAAGAGAAAAATAGCTCCAGGATGAGGGAAGAGACCCAGCTTAAGTGTATTGGGGGCATGGAGGGACACAGGAGAGATACCCAGTCATCCCTCATTTAGGAATTAAATGGACAGCAAATTTACATAATGAAAGTGGGATCTCAACCAGCTCTTGGCTGAAAATGCTAAGAAGAACTTTGAGTGAGATAAGCTTCTTCAGACAAGTTGGTAACTTGTTAGTTAAGTACAGGCTGCGAAGAGCAAGTTATGATTTTGTTTTCCATATAACTATGGGTATGTCTACACTACCCCCCCTAGTTCGAACTAGGGGGGGGAGTGTAGACATACCCTATTTGTTTCCAATATTCTTGTTCACTATTAGCTGAATGTCTGTTCTTTGATGTCTCATAGGGGTAGCCCTTACAGTTAGTCTGCAACTTTAAAAACAACAAGTAGTCCTTGTGGCATCTAATAATAAAATATTAAAAGACTAAAAAAAATATATGAACATAGTATCATGAGCTTTTGTGGGCAAAACCCCCTTTTTCAGATGAGATGAATTTAAGAACAACTTTTTTTTGTTTTTGCTACAGAGCAGAAGCTAGTCCCAAAGTCATTTCCGTGTAAAAACACTCCTACCAATGACTCTCCCAAAAAACTAATTATACAGTATTTCCAGTAAGCTCATTTTCACCTTTCTCTGTAGCACATTCCACTAAGTGGACCTGTGAGCTTGGAATAATTAAGACAATTTGAACTATAAAAAGTCTCAAAGAAAGCAAGAATTGACAGTATCTTTTAGTTAGTGAAAAATGGTCCAAGGCCAATAACTTAAAAAGAAGAAAATAGAAATATCAAAATAATCTTGTTTTTGAGTGGGATTAGAATTTACAGGCTCCTTAGTATGCATAACTGTAAAATGTAAGTAACCCCTACTAAAGTCATTGGCACCGCTCACATGCATCAAGTTATGCATGTGCTTGAGCACTTTTACACAATGGGGGCCTCAGAGAAATACAAAGATCAAAACCAAAGGATCTGTGTGTTATGCATACAACTTACATAACAGAGTACATGTAGGAAACTGTCCAAATAAACCCCACCCCCCAAAAAAGCACTTGTCCCTCCTTGCAAAAAAGGGAGGGGAAGCCATGCTTTAATATTTCCAAATCACTTTAAAACAATTTGATGCCCCGGTTGCACATTTCCTGAAGTTTAATGCCATGGAATGGAATCAAAGCAATACAGTTTAAATCTGCTTAAGGAAACTTAAGTCATGAGCCATTTCATCCAAATAACCATGTACTGAGCAGGATCCAACCCCGCCTAAAACATAAAAGGTAGTTTGGAAGCACTGTTGAAGATAGATTTTCATGCTTAATCAAATACAACAGTATTGTGTTATATGACAATATTCTATTAAAGTAGCCAACTGTTTAGCAGATTTGTCTCCTGACATTTGGCCCTCAAATTCCATGTGTTAAAACAAGACTCATTTCTTCCAGTTGTGTTTTTGGATCATTTTGTAATAGTTTGGCCAGCCATATGGGAAGAGGTCAAAAACATGGTACTATCAGCTTAAAAAGAAATTCTGTAATCTGTGTTAAGGCAATTGTCTGGATAAAGTTTTCTGCAGCACCTAACCCACGTTGACTTTTATTTCATTATTTTAAAAACTGTTACTGAACCAGGACAGGACAGTCCAGAGATGTTAAGAGAATAATGGTGCTATCATCAAGTTTACACTCCACTCTGCTATTACAGTTACAGATTCAGCTTTCACCGGGGATAGGCTAACACATTTTGCCTAAATCAGCACCAACTAAAATAATCTGGGTTCAAAAGCATGACTCTCACTCAGATGTTAACAGGCACACATAATGACTATACAAGAGGAACTGGAGAAAAGAAGAGAGGGAGGAGTAAAAATAGGGTGAAAATGAGCAGATATAAAGGAGTCAAACACAATACAGAGAGACAAAGGAAAGAAGGGAAAGGGGAGAAAAAGTAATAGAGGCACTTATATGTGCCAACCTCATTTTTTAATGGGAATTTTCCTTCCTCTCCAAGATGTAGCATGGCTTCCGTATTGGTGGTTAAAACATGCTTTATATAAACACTGATTCATCAAATATTAATTCACTTATAGGAGAAAAGATAATGAACTCAATCGCACCCCAAAATATAACCTTGTGCAATAACACCAAATCTCACACACACACACACAAAAGAGAGTCAGGCCAACAGTAGCTCTAATCTTACATTTAGGGATATGCATTCTATAGCAATGCATTTACTTTGCCTAGTCTGAACCAGCAGCAGCAGAAAAAGCAGTAGAAAGCGGTATTTGTATTCATGTATCTTAAAAATAATGTCAGAAAAGAATGATCAAAATAAAGAATCTTTGGTTCACATTAAAATAATATCTAAACTGAGCATAACAGACCTTCTTTCAATTTTCAAGTTACTTGTCATTTCTTTTTTGTACATTAAAAAAAAAAAAAGAAAAATAGAAAAAAATACCATAAACTTCAGGATCCAAGATTGGGCCATTACCTGAACAGAAAAAAAAGAAGAGAAAGAGTTTGCAAATATCCTGCAAATTTCCAGAATAATAATAGTTTTTAGAAATTTGGTTTATTTCATATCAATTTTCCACAAATTCGAACTACTAGGCTCTTTACTCAATTACATATTCAAATTATTTTCAGAGAAACACAAAATGTTAATATTTGCTTCATGTGAAAGATTTCATCTATTCCTAGGGTTAAATTGAGTCTCAGCAAAGATAGTGACAGTTCCACACTGAACCAAATTATGCTCTGTTACACACTTGTAAATCTGGAGTAAGTGTAGTATGTACTATTCCTATTGCAAATCAATGGCAAAATCGCATTGAACCTGAATTTGAACTATTAATTTCAATGGGAGTGGCAATGATTTAGCACAGGATGTATTCAGATTGTAATCTATATAATGAGATTCCAGAATTGAAACTCTCTCCATATTTTTCTCTCAAGCCCAGAATATCTGTTTATCAGTGTGAAGTGATGGAACTATTTACAATCATGGTTGAGAACTTCTTTGGTCTAGAATATCACCAGATTCAATCACTACTCATATTTGTGGTTTGTTACTGCCCAGTTTTAAGTTTTCAGTAATTTTCAGTTTGTGTGCACCTTATAAATTACATCCGTGCACGGCTTTCATCTAGTTCTTAACTTAAACCACTGTGAAGAAAAACTACTTTCCAATTAGGATACCGTCAGCTGGCAGCAACTCACAAAAGAATTAGGGTCAAAGTGATTGCTAGACTAAGCAGTACAACGTCACTTACTCTACTGGTGTTGCACGACTAATGAACCAATTCCATAGCTGCTCCCACAGACAGCTCAATGAAGAGAATAAGAGTCCCATACACCTGGCAACTAGATAATCAAAATAATCTAGATAACCAACTGAAGTGAACAAAACTAATTTATATTTTCTAATCTTCAATTCTGGTACCATTTTGTATCTGTTTCATATAGCATGAAGGAGCCTGAGCCTACAAATCATCAGTGTACAGAACTACTTCTGTCTGTACTATCACATCAATGTACAGGCAGTCCCCGGGTTACGTACAAGATAGGGACTATAGGTTTGTTCTTAAGTTGAATTTGTATGTAAGTCGGAACTGGCTCCAGATTCAGCCGCTGCTGCTGAAACTGACCAGGGGCTGACTACAGGAAGCT